AACGCTAAAATTCAGGTTTCGATACCCGAGATGGATACAGCATAGATAGCTAGCCCATTGTGTAGCTTTGTGCTTAACAACAAACAAACCGAAACAATGGGTGTACGTGTAGGAAATATCTATCAAAATTTACAGGCTAGTATATCACTTACAACGAATCTTCGTACCAGAGTTGGACGTTTATCCTTCCTTATTCGAGTACACAAGGTTGAAATCGTCCTTTCGTCCCTTTGTATGCAACACCACCTGGCGGAATTTCTTCCATCGGGTTATGAATGTTTCTGTACACAAGTCTCATCGTCACGGTGTCAGAGAAGCAATCGCTACAGTAATCCTAAGCTAAGCCTCTTATCAGACCACTACAGACGTGCATAAAACTAGTCCTTGAATCCTGATCTCATGCAAATACACTGTGATAGTGTAAGTATAGCTCTACACGAGACACGTGCGATATAATGGCATGCATTCTCAGCCATTTTCTTTATTCAACTTCATAAAATGTTATTCTAATCCGTATGCGCAGTGTGCCATGTATCTGTTTGCTGTGGTTTATTAAGCTTCGTTCCTATATAGCTGCATTTTGATGGACTATTTTTCGTTTTTTTTTTTCTCTTCTTGTTTGCTGTCTTTTTTGTTCGATGGCATAAAAGATGACACTTCTATATGTTATAAGAACCGTTAAAAGATGACACTTCTATATGTTATAAGAACCGTTAAAAGATGACACTTCTATATGTTATAATAACCGTTAAAAGATGACACTTCTATATGTTATAATAACCGTTAAAAGATGACACTTCTATATGTTATAAGAACCGTTAAAAGATGACACTTCTATATGTTATAAGAACCGTTAAAAGATTACACTTCTATATGTTATAAGAACCGTTAAAAGACGACACTTCTATATGTTATAAGAACCGTTAAAAGATGACACTTCTATATGTTATAAGAACCGTTAAAAGATGACACTTCCATATGTTATAAGAACCGTTAAAAAGATGACACTTCTATATGTTATAATAACCGTTAAGAGATGACACTTTTATATGTTATAAGAACCGTTAAAAGATGACACTTCTATATGTATAAGAACCGTTAAAAGATGACACTTCTATATGTTATAAGAACCGTTAAAAGATGACACTTCTATATGTTATAATAACCGTTAAAAGATGACACTTCTATATGTTATAAGAACCGTTAAAAGATGACACTTCTATATGTTATAAGAACCGTTAAAAGATTACACTTCTATATGTTATAAGAACCGTTAAAAGACGACACTTCTATATGTTATAAGAACCGTTAAAAGATAGACACTTCTATATGTTATAAGAACCGTTAAAAGATGACACTTCCATATGTTATAAGAACCGTTAAAAAGATGACACTTCTATATGTTATAAGAACCTTTACTGTTTAACAGATATCTCAACACACATGAAGTACTTGTTCGCTAGTGTCGTGTCAATAGTTCTAAGCCATTAAGTGTCCACTTACACTCGTCAATACTTGTAAATATTTAAAATAATTCGGTACACACGCGTAGAAATTCGGGACTTCTGTGGCTGGTTGGATGTGTACTGTTTGTTTTTTGTTGTTTGTAAGAGTTTAGTCAAAATATATACTTTTGTAACTCAAAAACTATACTAGATCACGTTTAAACAACGAGTTATGATTAGATTGAACTTTATTCGATAAAACCATTTTTTTACAGATTATTATCTGTTTAACATACTATTGTCATTCGTTCGGAGCAATCACGGATAACTTGTCGTTTGTTCAGAGCAATGACAGAGAAGTTATTTTTATTAAATTAGATCTACGATTCGTAAAGCGTTTGAACTTTAACCTTTACTATTCCACGTGTGTCCACCAAGTTTCAACTTTAACCTTTACTATTCCACGTGTGTCCACCAAGTTTCAACTTTAACCTTTACTGTTCCACGTGTGTCCACCAAGTTTCAACTTTAACCTTTACTGTTCCACGTGTGTCCACCAAGTTTCAACTTTAACCTTTACTGTTCCACATGTATCCACCAAGTTTCAACTTTAACCTTTACTATTCCACGTGTGTCCACCAAGTTTGAACTTTAACCTTTACTATTCCATGTGTGTCCACCAAGTTTCATCAAAATCCGGGTCATTTTTTTGACTGAGTTATAGAGCAAACATTGTGTGAAAAAAAAAACGGTCTCCATGGTAACAGATAGGATATTTTGGAGTTTCGTGACCTTGACCTTTAACATTGACCCTCCAAAGACTAATCACCCCTAAGTGAGGTCATAGTCCAAATGTCTTCCAACCTTCGTCAAAATCCATTTAGTCTTTTTCGAGACATATTATTGACAAACACACACACACACAAGGGTGGCGGAGGTGACAAGAAATTAGTTTCACTTTAACCAACTAAAACATCTCTGGGTTTATTTTCATTTAACTGATAGAACTTCTGAACCATTTAGAAAACATAAATTCAGATAGGATAAAACAACATAAACCAATTTGTTTTTGTTTACAAAAAATTAACTTTCAAACATACGTTTTCTTTACACAAAATATCAATCGCTTCGACTGTTAGGCTATTTATTTCTCCGCCTCACAGCTGGTTTGTTTGTAATTAAGCACAAAGCTACACAACTATCTGTGCTCTGCCCACCACGGGTATCGAAACCCGGATTCTAGCGGTGTAACTCCGCAGACATACCGCTGTGCCACTAGGGGGCCATCTGGTTTGAGTATGAGGTGTTTTGAAAACGTTTTTTTTTGTATAATAATCTATTTTCTTTACAACGTAAAAAAAAGTCCTTCAACATGTTTAACTTTTTATTTTGATATTCTCATTTTTTATAGTCTTTGATTGATGAGTCAGGTATGTAACTTCTTTTCGTTGTTTTATGATAATCTTTGTGAAAAAGAAAAGCTAACTCAATCTTTTTTTTAATGAGCTATAGTAGTGAAAAACACGTGCTGCTGAAAAGCAACATTATAATCGCTACACAAAGTATTTCTCCGTCATTACGCGAACAACTAGCCTCGTATAAATATATATATATATATATAGCGAAACGAGGGAGCTGTTAGTAAGTTATGGTTTACATTTTCAATCGTAATAACAACATTAGTGGCGTTCGATGGCCGTGGATCACCGGTCTATGAAATTGTAAATATTATTACGCGTCAGTTAGCAACAAAAAATCGACGCCATGATACCGGACTATTATTTTTAGACGCAAAAAGAAATAAATCGCGACATCTATTGAAGTTAGGTAACACTACTTTTTTTTTTTGTCTTTTTGACGTCCACCTGCCAGAATCCTATACATAAACATGAACATATAGAAGTTAAATCGCGACATCTATTGAAGTTAGGTAACACTATTTTTTTTTCGTCTTTTTCACGTCCACCTG